AAACCCTGGAGAATGAAATACCTAAAACCCTCGAGAATGAAATGCCTAAAACCCTGCAGAAAAAGAAGTACTTCATCTTCTTTTTTGTTCACCCCTAAAAGTGTTATTGGTATTTTGTTTTGTGGTTTACAGATATATTTTGTTTCGTGGTTTACAGATAGACTACAACATCTGATCTTTTTGGCCCAACAAATGCAATGTCATCAGGAGATGATACTATGTTAACTGTGTAGGGGGAAAAAACGTCTCTTTACCAACCTGCTGACTCCAACAGACTGAAGTCCTAATCTGGACTCAAAACAGTTTTGGGAAGGCTAACCTGGGCTATAAATGCCTGAAGAGGTTGGATTTGACAGTCAAAATATACAAATATTGAAGCCAGGCTGTAATTTGGCATAATGCAATTATTTCCTTAGATAAAAACAGAGGAAGTAGTAGAAGAAAAAGATGAAGAAGAAGTAGTAGAAGAAGTAGTAGAAGATGGAGAAGAAGAAGTACAAGAAGAAGTAGTACAAGAAGAAGATGAGGAAGAAGTAGTAGAAAAAGAAGAAGCAATATGCAGAAAATTCTTGGAAAATTATTTTAAAAATAATTGTATAATATTTCAGCATCAAATAACATTCTAAATACAAATAATTTGATAAATCTAATCTGATAAATCTAAACAAATGAACTCTCTGATTACCAGGAAATGCATCAAATGTTTCTTTTTAATAATTTAATAGCTTGTAGTCCTGGTAGTAACAGCAATGTTCACCAAAATATCCTGTTCAATACTCAGAGTTATAATTGGGAGATAAAGTGTTCATCAAATTCTCAGAGTACATATTTGCTATATCCTGTTATTATTTATGTAATTTGTATTACTGTTTTCACTTTTTTGGGTTATGATTAAATAGAAATTTTACTATGAATACTTAGATAACCTTACTAACATTGAGTCATTAAAATAGTGGAGATTATTAAGCCTTTAGTATAATAGTTGATTAAAGCCATCAATTTTATCTTTAGGGAAGATTTCTTCAAAGACAGCATAGGCATTCCTTACCATGGGCATTTCTTCCTCAGTAGCAGTTATAAATGTCCCACTCTGTCCAGTCCTACTATGGGGATCATTCACTCTATTTCAACTCTTACTTTAACGCCTTCTATTGCATAGTTGGATTCGTTAAACATGTTAACTCTCAAGGATTGTTATTCTTCTCTGCATTCATTGGCTGTTAACTTTGGCAGAAAGTTCTGTTGTTGTTGTTGTTTTTTTGGTCCACTTCTGGACTTTGGTCTTGTTCTAGAACTTTACTTTTATGTGCACAGATCTGGCTTACATGTAAGCCGACTTTTTGTTCCTTGCCGTGCAGGCAGAAGCCCTCAGAATTTGAGGGAAACATTCCTAATTAGTGGCCTTTTATGACGTGTTTGATGGAGGGGGGTGGATCTCTGTCACTCTAATGCACACAAACATTAGGTTAGACAGTGTGAAAGTTACACAATCATGGTCTCAAAGAGCTAACTAAAAAGACTGTCTAACATCCTAATGATTATAAACTGATGATTATAGAGGGATAAGGTTGTCAGCATCATCATCATCCTTTGTGTTCCGTGAGGCGTCACACAGAGCTCTCATTCGATTCCTCCACTTCGCTCTGTTGCATGCATCTCTCGATTTCTGAAACAGAGGTCAGCCCAACAGTTTTAGCTTCTCGTAATAATGTTCTTCATAATGTTTTTCCTGGACGTCTTTTTTTTCTCAGATCGTTTGTTTCCCATTTCAGTGCTTGTTTTGTCATTCTTTGCTCCTTTCGTCTCAGAGTGTTCCCAATATATCTCCACCTTCTTTGTCTCATTGCAGTCGATACAGGTATTTGTCCAGCATTTCTCTCATCTCCTCACTCTTTGAAATCATCAAATTTTAGTTTCATGGTTTTCCTCAGACATTTATTTTCAAATGCATATAACTGTTATTCTATATCTTTGGTGGTTATCCAACCTTCATTGGCATATATCAGAACTGAAATAATGTTGGAATTGAAGAAATGTAGTTTGGTTTTAAAGCTGTATAACTTGAATCTTCATATTTTGTTAAGGCTTTTAAACACTGTTGTTGCTTTGCCAATGCGTATCATAACTCCTTTTGTTGTATCTACTTGAGAGTCAAAACTGCTTCTCAAATGGGGGAAATGATCTGTTACTTTTGTAACTCACCTGTAAAGTTATAATTAGTTAAACAGAATGAAAAATCATCCCATAAAGTCATAGTCTGGGGAGTTTCATTTTAAACAACTAAGTGTTCACTTAAATTTCAGCTATACTTCTGGTACTATTATATTTGAGACACTTTATATATATATATAGACACACCCATTCACATCGGAATCAAAACAAGAAGAAATTAACAGAATTATTACTGGCATAAACAGGATACTTCAAGTTAACAAGGTGTAAGACATTGCTATTCAACATTTGTCTGTTTAATAAATAAAACATCAAACTGTGCATATTTACCTTTTACTGTGGGCATGATGTTGACTAAATCACACATCAAATGGCGATTGATCTATTTTTTAATAAATATATTGGTCTGCTTCAATATGCCTCAGTCACAAAGGGTGTGAATATTGTCTTTTAATTACAATTTATTTTACTATCAAATCTCGCTTTTTAGCACTGACAGACTTTGGGTTAATTAAATATCACAATTTAACAGTGCGTAAGTACGGTATTATATAACTCAATTAATAGTGACACTCTGCTGTATAATTTTTTTATCCTATTATTATTATATTTTTATTTGTAAAAAGATATGGTACCCTCTTCCGCGCCTTCGGTCGTATTGGGTATATAGGGCTAGACCTATATCTAAACAGACCAATCAGCCCTCTTTACTTGATGTGGTCAACATCACGCCGGCCGCCTTTACTTTACAGGACTGTACCTTGTACCCACATAAGGCTGAGTCGACCTGGGAGCCAAGGTCATTTTCGCGACCTTCTGATCTGCAGGCCTGCCTGCGTCTAGCCACTGCGACCCCCCCCCCCCCTCCTTTTCCCTATTAATTTAAGAAATTGTAAACAAGAAGGCATTGAAACTTTGCCACTGCGTACAATACGAAAAGATCGAACCGTGTACAACGACAATATCAGAAAGAAAGTCGCCACTCACATCCAGATATCACTAAAATTGAAATCGACAGATTCACAGACAGAACAACTCACACCTACCTCCAAGTCCATAATCAAAGAAAGTATACTATTTAGTCTATCAATCTCTGGCCACAATAAACTCCTCAACTGTGTCTTCTTATCACAAATACAAACAACTGTCACATCCCTGTCCGTGTAGCGGTGAAGCAGCTGTGTGTGTGAAAGACACAGAAGTGAAAGTACTACTCACTCTCTCTCCTGCTCCTTGTTGTTCTGCCGTCTGCTGCTGGCTGGTAGCAGACGATCTCTGGCTTTAGCGCCATCTACGCCACAGTCTAGCTATATAATATAGCACTTGTCGGGTCCAAACTGAAACAATACTAGTTGTTTATAGTTTAAATAATTAAAATATTAGATTATTCGGCAATCACTGATTTTGAATGACCAAAGATATGATAAGCATAAATATCTAGTACTGAAACAGAAAAAAACACATATATATCCAAATTATAACTCAGATGTATTGATAAATATATAGTTAAATAACTGCTGCTGCTACTACTACTACTGCTACTACTACTACATTTAAATAGTCTTTAGAGACACATGTTTCAGAAAAGTGAACGCTTTGTTTACAAAATAAATAGCAGTCATTTTCTAAAAAGAATGCAGCCTTAATTTTTTTTATTTCGAACAACACAGGCACAGTTAAATAAATGAAACTTAACCTTATCCATGTTTTACCATATTAACCAAGTGTATCGGAATGGCGGAGGCATCTGGGCAGGTATGGACATTACATTAGTGGTTGCTGTATTTTTGTGCATACAAAAACCACAGATTTGCAGTTACTTATTTACAGACACTTAATGTTTTGCATCATTTTAAGATGTTTACTTTGAAAATATTTAGAGAAGAAAGGTGGCTAGTTGATAATCGTCACCCTGATCTGGGAAAATGGTTACACTAACTTACACGAAGTGCAAGTCACCGAAGTTGACACACAATCAATCACAATCGTTAGCGTTAGATTTTGAACTGTGCTATTAATTAAACTGAGATAAATTCAGTTTGGGTTACATTCTCTGAACCCGTTTATGTTCTTAATAGCTGTCTCTTACAGGCTTTTTGTGGCAACGTATAATAGCTTGTGTCTGGGTTGTAATGTATAGATACTTATTTGTTAGTGTACCAGAGCTTATAGCTGTAAACAGTGTCACTGACTATGACATTGGCAGCACCATTTTATGGTCATTTTGTCCAGTACTACTCCAACAGCCACTTTGTGGTGAGTACCAATACCTTTTTAGATAGGCAGATTTGTGAGCCTTTTATGGACGTAACATTTAAAAACAAAACAAACAGAAAATGCTGGAAGGCACATAGAGACCAGAAAGGCTCTGATTAAACATGTTTTCAGCTGTTGAGAAAATGCACCAGGGATGAAGCTCCTTTTCTCCATAGCACAAAGCCTGGTTACTATTATAGGTATTATGTATCTAATGAAGCATTATCTGTCTGTCTTTCTCTCTCCCACCCCCCCCCCTTCTCTCTCCCCCCTCTCTCTCTCTCATTCCCTCTCCCTCTCTCTCTCTCACTCTCTCTCCCTCTCTCTCTTTAACACACACTGCCTTGTTTACTGCACAAGAAATGTAACACTGTTATGTTTGAAACAAAGTATGCAGTAGAAACTGCTGGATCAGAAGAGCAAAATTCCAAATTTTAACAAACTGATATTCTATCATGAAAGTTAAGCTGTTCATGTCTTGTAATTGTGTGTTAATTTTTACCAAGGATCCTGAAGAAGGAGATAAAGAAGCAAAAGTTCCATTGAAGAATGTGTCCGAGGATACGCCCAACATGCCCAGTGTAGCAAACCTGCAGGCTAAACCAAAGACTAAGAAAGGTGAATCATCAGCTCTGTTTTGTACCATAAATTCCAGAACAATTCTTTTATTCTATGCCTTAACAAAAGTTTATTTAGCTTCCTTCGAATAATGGTCCTAAATTATCGAGGCGGAAAATATACCCTAACAGGGCCTCAGTCACGTGTCAATTGCACACTTTTGTTGTCTTAAATTGGGTGCTTCCGCGACTTCCGCCACCGACGAGAGTATCCCACCACGCCGCTCACGCGACGTGAATTGGGGCTAAACTAGATGGCTGGGACTCACGAGCAGCAGCTACCGCATCTCCTGCAGCTTCTTCATTTTATTTGCTCGTGAGTCCCAGCCATCTAGTTTAGCCCCAATCCACGCAGCTCAAGCGGCGTGGGGGATACTCTCGGCAGTGGCGGAAGTCACCGGAAGTTCGCAATTCAGCGATGGCGTTATAGTCCCCAGAAGTGCGCAATTGACATGTGACTGAGGCCCTGTTAGGGTATATTTTCCGCCTCAATAATTTAGGACCGTTATTCGGAGGATAGCCATGTATTTTGTAGATTAGTATTTGTACAGTCTTCTTAACAACTCTGTGCTGCAATTCCCAACTTGGAAAGTGACAGAAAAATATACAACAAAAAAATACAGCTAAGATGAGATTATTGAGCAGAGCACTTAGATTGAACAGAGGATCAGAAGTGATTAGATTAGAAAAGAATTAGGGTACCAGCAGCATTAGACCTTATTGGAAAAAAGTTAAATGGTTTGGTCATTGAACTCAGCTGTCGGCAGACAGTTACCATCACAAGCAGTGAAGTACAAAAGAGTGGCTGACGATGCAAATTATGGACAGAGGAGGTACAAGAGTCCCTGAGAACCACCCTGTACGCAAAGCACACAAATAAATACTCTCCCAGTTTATACCACACTGCAAGGTACAAAACAATCAAGATGGGATGAAATAACTATTTATATTTGAAGAGGATAATGATGGTGATGGAATAATTATGATTTTAATATAATTCCTTGGGAAAATATCATAACTTTATCAAGTTACAGAGAAAGTGGATTTTGTTAATTGTTTGCCGTAAACAGCTCCAGAAATTCCAGCGTATGAGCGGCGCAACTGGCTGATTCATCTTCATTATGTAAGGAAGGAGTTCGATACCTGTAAAGCTCTCATTCAGGAACAGCTGTCTGAGGCTGGGGGCATGTGTGAGTACGCAGTCTACGTACAGGGTAAGACTCTTCAACTCCCTTTCTGTGCATGTGTCTGTCCATGTGTCTGTGCATGTGTCTGTCCATGTGTCTGTCCATGTGTCTGTCCATGTGTCTGTCCATGTGTCTGTCCATGTGTCTGTCCATGTGTCTGTTCATGTGTCTGTTCATGTGTCTGTCCATGTGTCTGTCCATGTGTCTGTCCATGTGTCTGTCCATGTGTCTGTCCATGTGTCTGTCCATGTGTCTGTCCATGTGTCTGTCCATGTGTCTGTCCATGTGTCTGTCCATGTGTCTGTCCATGTGTCTGTCCATGTGTCTGTCCATGTGTCTGTCCATGTGTCTGTCCATGTGTCTGTCAATGTGTCTGTCCATGTGTCTATTTATCTGTCATATTGTGTTGTCTAAAATACAGAATACCAGCTTATTGTGTGTGTTTTCCTTTTCATTATTTTTTTGTATTATTCTTTTTTTTTTTTTAGCAACATTGTATTTGATACTTACATATTTTTATCATATATATAAATGTGTTCATGATTACAGTTTTACTTAAGAGATATGCAAATGCAATAATATGTGGGAAATATGAGAACGAACGAACTAACTTAATTTTCAAAGGGTTAAGAATTGGGCACGCAGGCCCATCTAACATTCTGCCCTTCCACTCCACTCCTTGCATACAGCAATTCATTCGTACTTCATTTCAATGTTAATAATAATAATAATAGTAAGGCAAACATAGACTAGTAATCAGGCATGCAGTTACTTCTTTATCTTGTTTGTCTGCTGGCAGACTGAAGACAGCTGTATAGGTTGTCTTCTAATGATTAAGAATTGTTAGATCTTCATTATCTGTTAGGTCCCATGTTTATAATGTTCTTCTTTCTTCTTCGTGTTCACCAGCTGTAAACTCTGGCGAGAAGTTCTAGTTTTTTATCCACTTTCCAACTGCAGTCCTCTTCCAGAACCTGAGTGTTATGTGTTACAGATCTGACTCATTTGTATGCAGACTGCTGGTTCCTTGCCTCTCAGGCAGATGCACTCTGACTTAGAAGGAAGCTCCCAATTAGTCGACTCTCACGACATGCTTTTAGGTAGGCAGTGGCTCTATTCTTCTTTTCCCTATAATAGAGCCCCGGAACCCACACAGGGAGATTATAATGTGAAACAGATCTATTCCATATCACTTTTTCTGCGGAAAAAAACTTCTTGGAAACAACTGATGGAACCATAGTAATGAGACAATAATCTGCTCTTAGCCGGAAGTTACAATTTCTGACTAGGGTGTTATTGTCAAAGTTTAATAATTCTGACATACTGTTTTTTGGTTTAAATGCAGGTACTTTGGCCACACATCATTTTTCCTTTTAACAATGTTATAGGGTCAGACCATTCAGAATGCAATGGCAAACTACTGAATCTAAAATTGCCTAGTAAAAAAAAACGTTAGAAATTTGGTTTGCATATCATGTAAAGGATATGTCACTAACTTAGTTTTTGTTTGTTTGTTCATATTTACCAGCTGTAAACTGCGGTGGAAAGTTCTGGTTGTTCATCCACTTCTGGACTTCACCCACTGTTTTGTGTGCACATCCATTTTACACATCTGGGTTTATATGCAGACTAATAGTTCCTCACCTCCCAGGCAGATGAATTCTGACTTTGAAGAAAACATCACTACTTAGCTGATATCTACAGCATTCTCAAGGTTGGGAGGGGGGGGGGGGGGGGGGGTCTAGTGATTCTATTATTTTCCCTCCTAAAATGGGACCCGGGAACACACAAGGGAAATAACTTGGTAGGAAATAAACCCCGGACATTGTTGATAACCTGGTGCACAAACAAAATTACCATAGAGCCACACCAGATCAGTCATTTAAGTTCCATAAATCTTCTTCCTCAGGACTGATCATGAGGCTAGAAGGGAGGATCCAGGAATCACTGGATCTATTCCAGACGTGTGCGCTGTTGAACCCACAGAACCCAGAAAATCTGAAGCAGGTGGCAAGATCATTGTGAGTTTTACATCATCTTGTGGGTTGTTATATCATTAGTCAGCAGTTCATTTACGGAACGTCGCTTGAAAGTCTCTCTTTCTATAGCCAGTTCTTCAGCCTCCTATCCCTTCACAGCCAATGCATTCCCAATCATTTATAGACGAATGATGAGAATAACTCGGACAGACAAAAAGAGTGATAAAGATGTCTTGAAACTGACTCACGAAGAGATCTGATTGCCCACATCATTCTTGTGATGAGATGGAGAAAACTGGAGTACATCGTGACACTAGTAAGGTTGGAGGGAAGAAGAGGCAGAGGAACACAGAGAGATGCTGGACAGTTTGACATCATGGCATAGAGGATCATCAATGTCAGAGTTGACTGAAAGTACACGAGACAGAACGTTTTGGATAGACATGACTACCAACGCCACACGGCATGAACTTAAAGAAGAAGAAGAAGAGGTATTTCAAGTGTCTTTTATGCAATTTTATGGAGATTGCCTCTGGAAACTGTACTCTCCATCACTGTTCTCTTGTGATGTAAATGTTATGGTGGTCAGTAAATAAAAAAAGGGCCCTTTTTGATGCTGTGAGGCCTATAAGGTGTGTGATGAGGTGCTTTGCATGGTCTCCACAATTACACTGTGGCAAGCATAAAGTCCGCGCAACAAGTGACAGCACGAGATACTTGTGGTTAGTCAAGTAAGCAAGGGAAAGCCCGCGCTAGACTCGTGGTCAGTTGGTTACCATAAGTCGTGGAAGACAGTTGTGTTATTAGAAGATGTAGGTATTATGTTGCGCGAATGACCGTGTTTGAATATGTCGCAAGCGATGAAAGTGAGAATAATTGTTTGAGCATGTTGAATAAATATACCAGAATAAACTGAGAGCATGTACAAAGAAGCCGAGTGGCGTTCGTGTTATGAACCCTAGACGTGAGAGTTGTATGAATTAATCATCCAGAAAGTGAGCCATGGCGAGAGCAGTTACGTCGTAAGACAAGGTGCATGTCGAGTGACGTCTGCCTAATCAAGGTTCATTCCAGGTGTATGGTGCTAGCATTATATTTGTATAGTCTAGTCAGCTCTTATTGCTGGCTGCCGTGGTCAGTACAGCACCAGCTGCCTTTACTTCTTTAAATATTTTCTGGTACCCAGTAGAAAGTGCCGGAAGCTGTTGATGGGGGGTGAGGGGTTCAGTTCACATTTGGTCACTATGCTGTTAACTCTTTTGAGTCCCAGGGAACGCATCATACGTTCATAGGTTCCTACCTGGAAGCCCAATGAACGCATGATGTGTCGATTGTAGTCTCTCTTCACTACCCATTGGGCCTGTGATGCTAAACCCCCTGGGACTCAAAGAGTTAAGCGTCAGTTAAGAAATAATACAGTCACTTGAGAGATACTGTGCAGATGAAGAGCAGACAACATTCCACTACAGCTTCAGATGGCAAAGCTATGATCCAAATGCAAACACTCTATTTCGGTGGAGGAGAGTGTCCACAACATTCTTGTCCGGCTAACTAACTAACTCTACAGCAGCAGAAACTGAAAGGGGCTGCCGCAACCTCCGTGGGTTCCAGAGCCCTATTGTTATTAGGGAAGAAACAGTATACCCAGTGCTCCCTAACAAGCATTGTGTAAGATTCGACTAGTTAGGGATGTTTTCTTTGAAGTCGGAGTCCATCTGCCTGAGAGGCACGGAGCCGACAGTCTGTATACAAATAAATTAGATCTGTAAAACATATGCTCTGGAACTAGACCAAAGTCCAGAAGTCGACAAACAACCAGAACTTTCTGCCAGAGTTTACAGCCAGTGGATGTAAAGAGGAAGATGGAGAAAGGGAGCTTGATCTGAGTCAGAAGAAGACATTATGTGAAATATGTTCTTTACTCCTTTCCTAGAGAGGTCTTACTGAAATATTTCCAGTAATGAGAAGACTACAGGGAGAAGTGTGATGGCAGTCAACGTTGAATGATGTTTGAGTTGTAGACCTAAAAGTGATGAATTGTATTTAGAAGTAAAACATAAAAGGCCCTTTTCACACCTCTGTTGTGTTAGATATATTGTTCTAGACTTAAATTTGTGTAGACCAGTTGGCAATATGTGGGTGTTGTAGTAGCATACCCACCACCTTTACTTCCAATGAAAATACTTATTACTAGGGCTGGATTTAAATTTTATGAGGCTGTAAGCTATATAAAGCCCTAAGGCCCTTACAGTTTTTAATTACACCAGCTAATCTCAGAAAACTTTAAAACATATACTAGCAACTACAGTTTCGACAATTTGCGGTCTTTTTGGCAATTTCCGTTACCATGGAAACCGTTTGAAACTTGTTTGGGAAATTTCGGCTGGGGTTTCTGGATGGGTCCTAATCTCTCATGAAATTTTTGCGATTGGTGTGATTTTCACCGGCTATGAATAGCTGAAAACGGCGGGAACGAACCCGATTAACAGCGCATTTCTACAACAGCCGGACGTCCTCTGTTTTTCTGTTACATCAGTTTGATTGAAAATAGCGCTAAGTATTCAAGGTTGGCTTTAGGCCTTAAATATTACCAGACATGGTAATGCTAGTTATAATTGAATTCTCCGTCCAATTTTACATTTGTGTATAAAATTTCTTTCTTATCTGTGGCTATTTTGATTTACAGTGACATTTTTCAGGCAATCGCTATTATGTGGCTGTGTCTGAGAAAAATTGTCTGCCATCTTGTCCAATGAAAACAAAGCCAAAATGAAAGTGCACAGTTTGGTTGCGCAGAGAAAACTTCTTGTTTCACAGACGCAAATTTTCAACAGCTGTTTTTTACATCTCATCTCCACAAAAACCTACATATCTCAGCTCAGAAATGACATACAAGCCTAAATGAGGTACCGTTGGAAAGAGATTGTTTACAGCTATCTAACTGTGCTGGTTTTATTGGTGTAGAGGGAATTTTCAAAATTTGACTAAAGTATCTACATATACCCCCTTAAAAAGATTACAAGTTAGAATAAATAAAAGCCTGAGATAGTATACCCAAAATAGTTGAGCTGAGTCAAGAATTGACTTCACAGCACTCGGGGCATTCCCCATCTCCATTCTCATCTTTAGCAGTCAGCGCAGAGTTCCAATACTGATGGTACAGGTCACAATCTGGTTATATGTCTGTCTTGCCTTTCCTCTGAGTGTAGTGAGCCGGCCAGACCCTCTGGTTATACACGTGTGCCTCATTCTCTCCAGGCCATAATAATCTTGTTTTTTTTTACTGATTCCGTTTCTTGTTCCCAAAGGGCCTTGACCACATCTGCCTTGTCATGTATCATTTCACCACCCAATGGTGCAGATCCAGCAAATATGTCTGCCTGTTCATTACTCACTACCCCGGCATAGCCTGGAGAAAAGATAAACCCAAAATAATGTTTATAAAATATAAAATTAGAAAATTTATGGAAGAAATATTAAAAATATATCAAAAGAAAATTGTATTCATGTTAAAAAATCTGAATCTTTTGAGGCCCCTATAGATTTTGAAGCCCTAAGCTGTGGCATATTTAGCTTATACATTAATCCAGCACTGCCAGGTACCCGTTTTAGGCTGGGTCAACATTAGAGCCAAAATCAGTTTTTAAATCAATCTGCCTCGATGTGGATTTCAACCCTAGACCTCAGGCTGGCCAGCAAGTATCTAGCAGCTGCACCACTGCAGCACCTGAATTGATTTTTATCTGTCTCGTGACTAGATGAAGTTTTACAAAGGTAGGGGTGTCGGCCCCACACTAAACCCCTACCTGGAGGACCAGGGTGTCTTTCTTTGTCTGTTCTCTACCCTTCGACCTTTCCGGCTTGGGAGGTCCAGCTGGTAGCTACGCTATCGCTGGCGTAGCTCTCAGGGTCGTTGAGAAACACAAGCTCCCCCCACCACTGAATTGTATTTGCCAACCATAAATTAGATACTTTTTGAAGAGACCTCATAATTAATTTATCTATGTCTAAACATCTGCCAGGTTTCTGCTGGCCAGACACAAAGCTGCCATTGATGTGTACTACCAGGCTGCACAGATCTGTGAAAACGACTGGGTGAGTGACATGAAAGCAGCATTCATTGTGTCTTCTCCGGATGCCTAATGTGCAGCAGACATGGCTGACACTATCACCACTTCCATCATCTGATAAGTTCATAAAGTTGATGTCTTTATATAATTATTTGTTGACAGACTGCATGGACAAATCAAGTGAGTAAAGGAGCTTTCCCCCACGCCTTTATGTATACTGGGCATGTAGTGTTAGACCAATTGGCACTCAGTGGCGGATGTCGTGAACATTGTGCTGGCCACCTTTACTTCCCAGGACTTTACCTTGTACCTATTTAAGGCTGGATTGACCTGGGAGACAAGGTTATTTTTTTAAGGAAAAAAAAAGTCTGGCTACATTCAGATTTGAACTCAAAACCTTCAGATCCACAGGTGAGCATGCTGCCAAGACCATGGTGTGAATTAGATCACCAGCAGTGGGAATGCTTACATTTTTTAAAACAATTTTGAAGTTAACTCATCTTCTTAAATGGGTACCAGAAGCTTTCCAAATCTGCTGACTTTAAAATTTATAATTACCATGTGGTTCCAGGTCTCCATTTTGGGAGGAAAAAGAAAGACCTGCTTACGTGCTAACAAACATGTTGTAAAAGGTGACTAGCTAAGCATTTGATTAAATCGGTTGTGTCAGGCAAAAAGGTGCAACATCACATCCAAGCTGTAAACAACACCACAACATGCCAACTTCCCTTGTAAGGGTGAACATAGAAGGAGAAGAATTAATAAGGAAGTTTAAATTAGATTTAATTTTTTTATGTAAAGAAAATGTTATATTGCTTTGTTTAAAATTAATAAAGATATTAAAACATATGGTGTTGCTTCATAGTCTCCTTCCTCGCCCTTTTCTTTCCCACAAAATATGATATTATTTATTCTGTCATTAAAAATTTTATAAAAAGTAAATCCTGATGTTTCCATATTACTGCACATACGACATTTGATCACTGACAGATGGCCCTGGCATGACTAAGTATGCTTTACTGGCCCAACTGTAAGCTTTACTTAAACTGAATGAATCAATCAGAACCGACATCATGGTACTCAGGACATTCATGTAAAATCCCAGTCCCTTTCTTCAGTAACCAATACAGTCAACAAGCTAATAGTGCCAGTTGCAACCTGATTACAAGTCCTCTTGTACTGTTTACCACATTACATGATTATCTTATGACTTCTTTTTTTTTTAGTTCTCCCTTCTCTGTCAGTGGTTTTTCAGATGAATGATGAATTAAGAATCGATATCACAGCCCTGGGGACACTCCCATAAGTGCTCAGTTCCCCATCTTCAGCTTCAAGCAAAGAGTTCCAATTCCGATGGTACCAGTTTCTGTGTGATTGTATATCCGTTTCATCCTTCCCCTGAGTGTTGAGCGTTGGCCAGATTCCCTGGAAGCTCCTTGCATTGCTTTTCTCCTTAGACTATAATGATTTTCAGACGAGAAGGCCACAGGCTGCTATGAAGTCTGTGGTGCAACACTTGTCTTCCACTGTTCCAAACAGCTTGTCTTCCATTGGAATGTTAACCCCTAAACCTGACATCTCTCTACTGCAGGTAGAGAGAGTATATCTGTAGCACATGATCAGTATTCTGGCGTGCCTGTCCTTCCACATGGGTTAAGTTCTAAATCCATAGTCTTTAATATCTTGTACATATGGCTGCCGAGTCTGTTGTTTCCAATCTTCTTCTGCCTTTCTAATCCCCAATGGAGCATAGGCCCTCAACCAACTCAGGCCAAGTCGTTCTATCGCTGTCGCATGCAGCTCCACCTTGTCCTCCTCATCTTTTTTAACCTCACTCTCTAGCTGCCTTCTCCATGTGTTTTTGTGTGTGTGTGGTCTTCCATTATTTCTATGCCACAGTGGGTTCCATTGCTAAGACATTCTAATTTTTATTGTTCTCAGGTTTTCTTGCTATGTGTCCTATCCAACACCAGCATTTTTTCTGCACATCTTTGTCCACTGGAACTTGTTTAGTTCTCTCCAAAAGCTCTGTATTATTGTTTCTATATACCATTTTATTTCTTATATTTTGTGCAGGCACCAGCTAATGAATGTTTGTAATTTATTAGTAATTGCGTTAGTTGTTCTCCATGTTTCTGTTCCATATTGTGTCCAGTACACAATCTAAATATAATGGTCCATCTTATGTTTATCACTATATATACTATTTTTTTTCTTACCGGTAGGAAATACACCATAATCTGGGAGTGTGTTACATGTACCTTCGAGATTTCAACAAGGTGAGTCATCCAGCATCACTGCGGAGGAATGGAGCAGTTGAAAAGTCATGAAATACTTGTCTGATAAGGATGAAAAACATAGAGTATCGTTGTTGTGTGCTAAATTGAGTCAGCACACTACCAAGTGTCTAGCAGGTACTCTTCAGCTTCCTTTCTTAACAAGACAACTCGACGACGATGACACCGTCATACAAGTTTATTTAACAGGATACATGACACAAATGCAGAGACGTAGTTATTGATCACAGCTGACATTCGCACATCGTTCATTTGTCCTCACAGCTCTCTATCTCTCAATGTGTAGTGACCTCTCCTGGACTACTGCAGACACCAGGATGACGGCGTCCCACTCTCTGGACGCGTCGTACAGCTGAACAGGACGACTTCTCCCATTCACTGGACCTTGATATTAATTCAGCATACAACACGGCTGACTGGAGACGGACTTCTCTTGCCGTACTCCGAAACCAGGCACTACTGGTCTTCCCGTCCTCTGGACTTACTTTGCCAGCTGGACCATATTTTCCATACCGCAATCCCGACACTTACTCAGACCTAAATGCCTGATAGTCGTACGGTATTCTAGTCGGTTAGACTCCAATGACCGACAGGACTTCTACCATAAGTCCTCTCATACTTTTGACATGTACCGCAATCTCGACACTTACTCGGACCTAAATGCCCGATAGTCGTACGGTATGTTTGTCTGTTAGACTCGAGAGATTACCTGGACCCTGACTTGGTCTCTGACTCTCGTTTTCTCTCTCTTCTCGCTTCTCGCTCTATCTTGACTGCTTCTCGATTGCCCCCGAGGGGCTTTAGCCCTCAGGCTACAGCTCACTCTCTGGACTGTCTACGCAGCCCAATTTATATATGTCGAATCCGTGTAGGTGGATGGTGATTACACGAGAGGCACGCTTGTGTGGGCGTTCTCGTGAATCATGAACCTGTGGGTGTTCTCGGGACTCGCTCATGTGAGTGTTCCCGAAGATCACGCTTATGTAGGTGGCTGATGTTACCCGAGAATCACGCTGTCACTTAATTCACATTTATCTCGTTATCCACGCTTTCAGCCCACCACACAGAATCCTACGCGTCCACTTTCTCTCGTGCAAGCACGCCTTGTTCATGAATAGACGTTTTCACTGGTCTCCTCTTAATACTCGGATCATATTGACACTCTTTCCTCGTGAACTTACAGGAAGTACAGGCATACCATTGTCCCTTCCCACAATATCACACTTAACCCAAATCAGCGCGCAACATCATATCCTCCCCCTCTCCCAACTGACAACTAACTGAAATTAAGTTGTCAGTTGTTGAGTTAGAACAAATCCTTGTTGCGTGCTGATTTCACAATTATGATAATCTTTGAACATGTGATATCGTAACATTCAACAACAATGCAGTTAACTAAAGTATCATTGTATATCTCAATGCAGCAAACACATGGCTATTAATCTAATTTTAACAACTATGTCCTGTTTGATACAGTGTAAAGCGGCCTTCATACAGGTAGTGGGCACCCTTGAACACTGTGTAGTACACCATCACAGCTCTCCTTTTCGATGCTGTATTCTGTCTCTTGCTGGTGTTAATCTTCTGCAGGCATACATGACTTGGATGCAATTGACTTTCACAGTCATATGGAAGTACACCGCTCAGAACGACGTCACACACGTCACATGCCACATGGAAAGAAAATATTCTATTAGGCAACGTAAAATGGTATACAAACGAATCATTTTTGTAAATCGCGTAATGTTATTGCATAATGCTCTGCCCATTTCGTTGTTTGGTATGCCTTTCCTACAAACGCAGACAGCAATTGTTGCAAAATGTGGTATGAATGTTGAGTACCCAGTTTTTAAACATAATTCTTACTTTCTTCTTCATTCTGGAAACTGGAATTTAACAATCTCTACATTTCTAGATACTGGTTTTTTCACTATTTCCCTATAATATCCCATTACATTTCAAAGATGGTAAAATAGATATTGCAGTCAATTCAATCAATCTTACATGAGTACACGATGATGATAACAATGAACTTGGTGATTATGGACGATTGTCCCTCTATTGCTCCTCTTATTCATTATAATATGCTACCAAGGCTGTGTCACATGAAAGATAACACATCACCTCGACTCGGCGTGAGTCCACAACATTCGCTTTCGGCCTACGGCCCCTCCTAGGGTCACCGATAGCCTTCTTATAACTCTCGCGTTGTCACTCAGGACAGATTCTTCTTCTTGGTTACGTGCCCTTCCTTTGGGTCACTGTAACATATACACGATAACTGATGAGACTTGGCCCCAGACAACAGAGTCTCTCGGCCCACAGCCGAATTATCATCACGAGGCACTGCATTATCCTCGTCCTCGTAATTCCGCCACGCTTGACTCTTGTCGAATCTTGTGGCTAATAACATGTTGGGTACTCTACGCCTCATCCCCACACAATTCGCATAACGTGAGCACTTCGACTAATGCACCAAATTCACTTCCTTGATAAGCTACTAAATGTAATCTGTGTTTTCCATGTTAATAGATTCATCAAAAAATTACACACAACTGTACTTCTTCAATCTTTTAATGTCATAATGTAACTCACTTTCTGGTTTTAAAACAGGTAATTTTGGTTCATACTTTACCACCTCTTCATTTGAGTGGTTTGAAGCCTGTCCTTTCTTTAGCGACTCACCTCGCTAATTCTTTTGTTTCTTTTTCTGTAATGGCCAACTCTGCCATATCTTTTTGATGAGCTTTTTCTGTAGCTCTCTTATCTCTAGTCGCTTCTTCATTTTCTGGTTGTCTTGCAGCTTTTTGTTTTTCTGTTACCTCTTTCATCCTAAATTCTGCAAAGCTTAGGATCTCTTCAGGCTTAAGTTCTAACTCCTCAGCTATGCTGACAAACTCAGCAAAGGACATTATGACTGTTACTTATGTCAGTGTGATGGACACCACTAAAAGACAGTACACGACGTTACGATAACAGTGCTAACTTTTACGAAAACAAGACAACGAGAAAACAAGCTATGTATGACGGTACACTTAAGAAAATGGACCGAAAGCACCAAGGATTAACACAACCGATAACAAACTGTACGTACAGGACTATTAACGCTACCTGATGCAGACAGCTAGGTATTCCGGTCTATAAACTAATAGGCAGAAATAGCTAAAAGACAGCTCCTAAATTATGCAACCTACAAAATGTTACCTAATTAGAAGCGCTCCTCCCAACCTCCCACAAAACAAGTATCTCACCCAGATGACATCTTAGACGTACCAAACAATTAACGTGGTCAAAGCAATGTAAATACTGCAATAAAACATTACACAATTTACAATTACAGACCTGTCAATGTTGGACGATGAGATGACAAGTGCAAGATCAAACACACACTAAACGCAGCTTCGGCAGGTCATTCAGCTCCAAGCATAGCTTCCATCTCAGGTTCAGCTTCTGGATAACACGGCTTCAGATCTGGCGACTTGACGATTCTGTGTTCTTCACTTTACGACAAACAGGTTGACATTACAGTTCAAACAGGATCAATAACACATTCTGCGAATCTTCTTTATGTGTCGCTGGCCTCTAAGCGTTGGTTTTGGTACGAAACTGCTCTTGAGTGGATATGGCTTTCAAACCGTTGAGAATTTGAGACTGCTGAGAGGTTTCTCATTCTTTGTTATGGTTCTCAAACTGTTGGTTTGATACCGAATTTTTCTTGAGTTTTTGGCTTTCAAACTGTTGTGTGAAGGATGAGATGTTGAGAGATCCTTCGTTCTTTAGCTTAGCTCCCAAACTGTTGTGGAGGATGAGATGAGAGGTTCCTCGTTCTTTGGCTTGGCTCCCAAACTGTTGGTTGGAGGATGAGATGTTGAGATGTTGAGAGGTCCCTCGTTCTTTGGCTTGGCTCCCAAACTGTTGTGTGCTAAATTGAGTCAGCACACTACCAAGTGTCTAGCAGGTACTCTTCAGCTTCCTTTCTTAACAAGACAACTCGACGACGATGACACCGTCATACAAGTTTATTTAACAGGATACATGACACAAATGCAGAGACGTAGTTATTGATCACAGCTGACATTCGCACATCGTTCATTTGTCCTTACAGCTCTCTATCTCTCAATGTGTAGTGACCTCTCCTGGACTACTGCAGACACCAGGATGACGGCGTCCCACTCTCTGGACGCGTCGTACAGCTGAACAGGACGACTTCTCCCATTCACTGGACCTTGATATTAATTCAGCATACAACACGGCTGACTGGAGACGGACTTCTCTTGCCGTACTCCGAAACCAGGCACTACTGGTCTTCCCGTCCTCTGGACTTACTTTGCCAACGGGACCATATTTTCCATACCGCAATCCCGACACTTACTCAGACCTAAATGCCTGATAGTCGTACGGTATTCTAGTCGGTTAGACTCCAATGACCGACAGGACTTCTACCATAAGTCCTCTCATACTTTTGACATGTACCGCAATCTCGACACTTACTCGGACCTAAATGCCCGATAGTCGTACGGTATGTTTGTCTGTTGGACTCGAGAGATTACCTGGACCCTGACTTGGTCTCTGACTCTCGTTTTCTCTCTCTTCTCGCTTCTCGCTCTATCTTGACTGCTTCTCGATTGCCCCCGAGGGGCTTTAGCCCTCAGGCTACAGCTCACTCTCTGGACTGTCTACGCAGCCCAATTTATATATGTCGAATCCGTGTAGGTGGATGGTGATTACACGAGAGGCATGCTTGTGTGGGCGTTTTCGTGAATCATGAACCTGTGGGTGTTCTCGGGACTCGCTCATGTGAGTGTTCCCGAAGATCACGCTTATGTAGGTGGCTGATGTTACCCGAGAATCACGCTGTCACTTAATTCACATTTATCTCGTTATCCACGCTTTCAGCCCACCACACAGAATCCTACGCGTCCACTTTCTCTCGTGCAAGCACGCCTTGTTCATGAATAGACGTTTTCACTGGTCTCCTCTTAATACTCGGATCATATTGACACTCTTTCCTCGTGAACTTACAGGAAGTACAGGCATACCATTGTCCCTTCCCACAATATCACACTTAACCCAAATCAGTGCGCAACAATCGTACACTCATTGTGAACAAACAAATGACCTGGAAGGTTGGAAATTGAAACAGTAGACAGAGTATGAAGCATATATTGAATGAGTTGTGAGTTAAATTGTCTTCACAGCATTCCAGACACATCCATAGGTGTTCAGATTCCTACTTCAGTATATACATTAGCATCGTTAATAGTGAAATATCCATGTGCGGTGAAAGATATCTTTAACCAACAAAAGAACAAGGAATTTTCTATCTTTTTTTTTTTTTTTTGGTTTAATAGACTGTTTGCATCCCCATCGATTTAAAATTGTTATCAGTGCTAGATTAATTTCTCAGTCTGTAGCATGAGGCTACACTTTCAGAAAAGATTGATTCCTTAGAGATGTTTGTTATATTTGTTTTGTCCACTTGTTAGTATTTGTTTTATGCATCTTTATAGTGGCCAATATGGTTTCCAGGGCCGCTTTGTGGGGAAAACAAGAATAGCCCCACTGCCTACCCAAAAGCATGTCATAAGAGTCTACTTATGGAGTGCTTCCTTTGAAGCTGGAGTGCATTTGCTTAAGAGGCAAGGAACCAACAGTCTGTATATACAGATTATTCAGATATGTAAAATGAATGTGCCTGCAACACTCAGGTTCTGAAACAGGTCTAGAGTCCAGAAGTGGACAAACAACCAGCATTTTCCACCGTATTTTACAGCCAGTGAACGGGAAGAAGAAGATAGTGGCTGAATGTACTCGATACTTTATTTAGCTGACTTATTTTGTCAAAATGACGTACAGGTGTCTTTCAGGCTAAAATATAGCCCCTGTGTCATTCAGGCAAAAGATTTTTTGAAAGTGACACTTGTGTCTGTTAGGCCAAAGATTGTTTAAACTGTGATATTGGTGTCTTTCAGGTAAAAGATTGTCTAAAATATTTTACCCTGGTATTTTTATTTTGTTAATTTTTTTGGGGAGGGTCTCAGATTTAACAATGGGTTTTTTTTTTTTTTTTGTCTAAAATAATATACTGGTGTCTTTCAGACCAAAGATTGTCTCAGATATTTTATCCTGATATCTGTCAGGTCAAAGATCATCTCAGATGTAAAATGGTCTCTTTCAGGCCACATATTGTCTAAAATGTAACATTGTGTCTTTCAAGCAAAGGATTGTCTAAAATATAACACTGGTGTCTTTCAAACCAAAGATTGTCTAAACTATAATATTTGTATCTTTCGGGCCAAATATTATCTAAAATGTAACACTGGTGTCTTTCAGGCCACAGATTGTCTAAAATGTTTCACCCGTGGTGTTTTTCAGATCAAAACTTGTCTAACATTTAATATTGGTGTCTTTCAAGCCAGAGATCATCAAAAATGTAAAATAGGTGTTTTTCAAGACAAATGTTATCTAAAATGTAACCCTGGAATCTTTCAGGCCAGAGATTATCTAAAATGTAACCCTGGAATCTTTCAGGCCAAAGATTGTCTAAAGCAGGCATTGAGTCTTGGTCGCCATGAAGTCTCCTATGTTATGCTTGGGAAGATTTATCTTTTGGAGAAGGACATCAATGCTGCCATAGACGTCTACAGAACTGCAGTTGAGTAAGTGCTGAGTGTTGTGTTAACTTTTTCTTCTTTTGCTGTCTCTTTTCTTTTGTCTTATTTATGTTTACTGGCTGTGAGCTCTGACAGAAAGTTCTGGTTATTCGTCCAATTCTGGACTTTGGTCTTGTTGCAGGACTTGAGTTCTACAGATCTGGCTTTTTTTTATGCATACTGATGGTTCCTTGTCTCTTAGGCAGATGCACTCCAACTTTGGAGGAAACTGTTCATTACTTCAGTGTGCATTCTATTATATTATAGTATCTGTGTTGTTAACTTAGTAGTTTGAATGGGCTGCTACTCATGCGTGATTTTTTTAATTAGTAAGTCTACCTTCAGAAACAGATATCTTCTTCTTCTTCGCGGTCACCAGCTGTAAACTCTGGCGGAAAGTTCTGGTTGTTCATCCACTTCTGGACTGCAGTCCTGTTTCAAAACCTGAATGATGCATGTGCACCTGTTTTACAGATCTGACTCATTTGTGTGCAGACTGCTAGTTCCTTGCCTCTCAGGCAGATGCACTCTGATTTCGAAGGAAGCTCCCAATTAGTCGACTCTTACGACATGCTTTTGGGTAGGCAGTGGGTCTATTCTTGTTTTCCCTATAATAGGGCCCCGGTACCCACACGGGGAAAAAATAGATATTTAGAGCATGTATTAAATGAGTTTGCCCAGTTCGAATCTTAGCTAGTCTGTGATGTTCATGTACTGTGCTGAGATTCTACTTGTGAGATATCTTAGAAAATACTGGATGATTTATGTAATTTTTCATGTGCAGTTGAAGTGATCCTGAAATAAACCAATCAAATAAAATACTAGAGCGAATCTAGCATAATTTCTGTATACAGGGCTTTGGGTCTAGATTTTAAAAAAAGTGGGATGCTGGTACTCTTTACAGTGTATCTAAACAAGGTGCCGGTATTTGTCACAGAGGGTCTTAAAGAGGGTACCGGTGCTCGCCACAGAGTGTCTATTACAGTAGTGCTGAAATAATAATGCTTAAAACAGTTCTTGTAATGCGTACCATTGTGTACCAACTGAAAAATAGGCCTGACTATACATTATTTCTTTTGAAGCCTAAACATTTGGACATTTTTCTCTATTGTTTTTGTGTCTTCAGGCATTCACCGGAGAATCCAGACCTACTGACAACTGTTGGTCTGCTGTACATGCAGGTAACTCTTCTTTTTTCTTTTTCTTCGGCTGTAAACTCCAGCAGAAAGTTCTGGTTGTTCGTCTACTTCTGGACTCTAATCTTGTTCC